TTGTCTACTTCTATTGACAGATATATATCCCCCTTTGTCTACTTCTATTGACAGATATATATCCCCCATTGTCTACTTCTATTGACAGATATATATTCCCCCCTTTGGCTACTTCTATTGACAGATATATATTCCCGCCTTTGTTTACTGTTATTGACAGATATATATTCCCCCCTTTGTCTACTTCTATTGACAGATACATATTCCACCCTTTGTCTACTTCTATTGACAGATATATATTCCCCCCATTGTTTACTGCTATTGACAGATATATATTCCCCCCTTTGTTTACTGCTATTGACAGATATATATTCCCCCCATTGTTTACTGCTATTGACAGATATATATTCCCCCCATTGTTTACTGCTATTGACAGATATATATTCCCCCCATTGTCTACTTCTATTGACAGATATATATTCCCGCCTTTGTTTACTGCTATTGACAGATATATATTCCCCCCATTGTTTACTGCTATTGACAGACAATATTCCCCCAATTGTTTACTGCTATTGACAGATATATATTCCCCCCTTTGTTTACTGCTATTGACAGACAATATTCCCCCAATTGTTTACTGTTATTGACAGATATATATTCCCCCCATTGTTTACTGCTATTGACAGATATACAGTGAGGCTTTTATTTATTGCTATTGTCATTATCATAATGTCCTTTATATGTTGCAGAGTCAAGAAACTCGACAAAATTATGACAATGAAGTAAAGATGAAGGGGTCGGACCAAGACACACAAGTAGCCTTCCAGTAAGTCACCTTTTCTATTATTATAACTTGTTCATCAATGAAAGGCTTATATTGTCCAGTCTACTTGCACGAGTAAGCCTTCAAAATAGTAATTATGTGAAATAGGAATGCATTGACAGCATTTGTCAACAATTACTGAAATGATCTAGATCTGTATTACTGGAGAGTACAAGCTGTATTTTACTTTGGATTTTAAAGCTTGAATGCTACATCTGTGTGTTGCAGCATGGCTATCCGGTGCTCATTAATAGAAGAGTTAGAGGAAGTACTTGACCAGCTTCTGGTGACTGTCAAACAGCTCATCAAAATGTACTGTCACACATTCCATACCGATTATTTGCTGGGTACAGCTGTACAGCCTGTCAGGGGTATGTTGTTAGAAGTCCACACTTATACTACAGACAGGCACTATAGGGTTGTTCTCAGACCATCTGTCCTGCATCTCCTTGTCCGGCCAATATCTCATACTCTCCGTCACTGACAATTGTAAAATTTTGTGTATGAGTACCTCTTATAATCGAGGAGTGTTCCCTGCTGAACCTTAGTGTGATCCCCCCTATATATATCTGGAGTTATAGCCCTTGCTTTTCCATGTATCACTTTATAACTATCTAATAGATAAAATATCTATTAATATTACGGTATATCTTACAGCAAGTTAAAAATCATACTAAATATCAAACCCTGATATCATGGAATGTGTCGGTATGTAATAGGATGTCATACCATTATAAATGTAAACAATGTATATAAAATATATAAATAATACAAGATAACACATGTTTATATGTTAAACATGTGGTAATTTACTGTTATCCAGTTGTTATTGGTGTTTTTAGAGACAAATCCTGTGGTTGCATTGGAGGACAACTTTATTCTACACATTGCCACGGTCCACCGCATCCCTGTCACCTGGTCACAGAAGTAAGTCTCACCTTAAACCTGGAATTATGGACAAAATAAAGTACTATAAACAAGTAAAATCATTTGTTTTTATATAATGTATTTGATATTATAAGTGCCCTGTGCTCGTAGTATTTTAGGAAAAAATGTGTCTAAACACAATAGCCATAATAGACATTTCTTCAAATGAAATACATTTGTACATGAATATCAGTAAAGCATGGTGAAGAGAATGTCAAATACAGTATATTTGTATATACTAAGCTTGAGGATCTGTGCTTTTTTTGTAGGTATGATGAATACAAGATCATCTGTAGTCTTCATTATGGAAAAGACAAAATTGACCTGGATGTGGTGACTTCATGTAAAACCATAACTACGACTCAGCTATGTGGGCTAGAGTGTATATTGTGGGACGAATGGTAGGTCAGAGGTCATTATGTTAATTAGAAGTCAAGGGGCGGGGTCAATAAGGATTATAAAGGAATAGCTTTTTGGGATGAAGGAATTTTGACCAAATTTGAACAGTAGCATCCTATGGGGAAGGGAAATCAATTTTGTATAAATGGTGGGTCTGACTCCCCCTGGGGTCTGAGGGGAGAGGCGCAATAGGGGTAGTTTAGAAAATTCTTTAAAATTCTTCTTCTGTAGGAATGACAGGATTTTGTCCATATTTTGTCTAAAGCATCCTTTGGTGTGGGGGACTTACTTTTGTATAAATGGTGGGTCTGACCCTCCCTGGGGGCAGAGAGGCGGGGCCCAATAAGGGATATAGAGGAATAGCTTTAATATCCTTCTTCTGTTGGGATGAAGGTATGGGGAAGGGACATACATTTGATATAAATGGTGGGTATGAACATCTTGGGACAGAGGGGCAGAGCCAAATAGGGAAAATAGAAAAATAGCTTTAAAATCCTTTTCCTGTAGGAATGACAGAATTATGTCCAATTGCATATACATGTAACCCCTGGCTAACCATGTAATGCATGTACGCTACCAGCAGCATCTGGCTATTTCAACTTCAAATTTGCTAACACTTCCAGGTGAGCAATACAGGCCCTCTGGGCCACTTGTTAAATTATTTGACTAGTAGAAAAATTATTGGTTTGTTTAACTGATTCAAATAGCACATTTTATTTTCCACGTTTGCACATACTGTACACATTTCCAAACTACTGGTCTACTAAATTTTCATTTTGTGTTTTCATACCATCCATTCTCGTTATTACAATTTTTCCTGTTTGTCTGCTTTCCTAGGGTGAGTTTTGATGAGATCCCAGTCCAGGTGTTGCCAAGGGAGACCCGAGTGTGTATGACACTTTGTGGTGTCAAGGTTGTCCCCAGCAGTAACCAGAACAACACACAGGGAACCAAGGTTTTGTCACCCCTAGGTGGGGTCACTGTTCAGCTTTATAACCAGTCAGGGTGAGTAGTCTCCCCTGGTCAGTGTCCCCGTGGTCGGGTGGTGCAGTGAACACTACACCCATCTTTAACCACGTGAGTAGTCTCCCCTGGTCAGTGTCGCCGTGGTCGGGTGGTGCAGTGAACACTACACCCACCTTTCACCACGTGAGTAGTCTCCCCTGGTCAGTGTCCCCGTGGTCGGGTGGTGCAGTGAACACTACACCCACCTTTCACCACGTGAGTAGTCTCCCCTGGTCAGTGTCGCCGTGGTCGGGTGGTGCAGTGAACACTACACCCACCTTTCACCACGTGAGTAGTCTCCCCTGGTCAGTGTCCCCGTGGTCGGGTGGTGCAGTGAACACTACACCCACCTTTCACCACGTGAGTAGTCTCCCCTGGTCAGTGTCGCCGTGGTCGGGTGGTGCAGTGAACACTACACCCACCTTTCACCACGTGAGTAGTCTCCCCTGGTCAGTGTCCCCGTGGTCGGGTGGTGCAGTGAACACTACACCCACCTTTCACCACGTGAGTAGTCTCCCCTGGTCAGTGTCGCCGTGGTCGAGTGGTGCAGTGAACACTACACCCACCTTTCACCACGTGGGTTTTCTCCAGTTCTCAGGTGGCCTACCACATTATGTGCTAACATCTAAGCCAACACAAAAAAAGTGATTAATATGAGTTGAAATAACTTGTTTTATTATTGTTGTAGAACAAATATGGTTTATTTTCAGGAAGAGAAAAAATGAGTAGTCTCCCCTTGGATTGTCAGTTTTATAACCATAAAGGTTAAGATGTTTTTCTTTTTCTTGGGTTGGTTAATTGTACAACCAGGAAGTTTATGTAATCTCCCCATGTTTGGGCATTGTACAGTTTTATAACTTTATAACTAAGACTGATTCATCTCCCTTGGACAAGATGAAGTTTTGTTTAATGACCAAAACCTTTAGAGAAGTATCCCTTTCAATAGCTTTCTGATCGGAAATGTGAGTTCTTGTCTTCATTTGTAGGAGTCAGTATTAAGCTAATGAGAGAAAAGTATACCTTGATGGGAATGGATTTTACGGGGTTGGTGGGGTGTTGGTTATTGCTGCTATTTACAGCAAATAATATCTATGTATGTTTGTGTTTACCAGGAACCTGATCAGCGGTAATCTGTTGGTTCCTCTGAAGATGTACAGTGTGGCTGATCCGTTCATCCCTTTCTGTTCCTCTCTACAGTCTGATGCAGCACTCATACATGTACGTATGCCAGTCTAGGCGAATTAGATCGGATTTCAATGTATAACATTGCTTTAAGCTTACTGATCTGTATTTTATGCACATACACACATTGTAGTGAATGGGGCATTAAGTGTTTTCTGTCTGATCATCTGTCCATACGTCGTTCCATATGGCCTCTTGGTTATCCTTTTCATTTAGCTTCAGGACTACCTAATAGTATAATTCCCACAGTTGTCAAACTTCATATATATTAAGATAGATTGGTATTACACCAATAACTGAAATAAAGGTCACTGTGACCTATATTTTGAATGCCACATGACTTTGGTTAAACTTTCTATTCAGCGCCATTGCTCTTGTTACTCAAGTCATACACCGTTTATTTCAAAATTTGATTTACATGAATACTGGCCAGTATCGATATATACAATATAAATCCAATTTCTTATATCATAACAATAAAGTTTAAAATGAGATATTTGAGAGAGACTGTTGATTTCTTTTAGATCAATCTGCCTGACTTTGGGAAACAGATCGTGTTCCCTGATGTTTACATACAGAAAAGCTGGTAAGTACTCATTTAGTGGAATATATAAGAATAAGATTGATTACAGTGATCCTGCAGGGTTTGACCTTTTACCTCTTAGAACTGTTAGTAAAATTCTTTTTAAGATTTATTTTTAGCAATCTTATCATTCAAAGAAAAGACATAATTTCCACTAAACCTTTATTTATACATTGCAAGTAGATTTACTCTAGTTTATACATTTTTAGTTAGCTGCGCTATAAACTCAAACCTGCTCTTGTGACCAGCTCTATTTTACAGAGACAGCATGTGTTCAGAGACCACTTTTATGTTCCCCACTGTAGTGATTTCAGTGTAATTTTAACCTGTATTTCAGATACCACCTGCATTGAAAGACCACTTTTATGTTCCCCCCTGTAGTGATTTAAGTGCGAATTGAAACTGTATTAACCCTTTCACCCCTATGTAACTTAAGTTAACTCTTCCATGCATTAATCGGGGTGAGTCAATTATGGGTTACAGTGGTGAAAGGGTTAGGATACTGGATGCATCAAGAAACTACTTTTTGGACTTCCAAAGGGAGGTCTCCTTTATAAAACAGGTTTTAATGTAAACACTAGTGACCTGTACTAGACAAGTGAATTAAGTTTGGGTACAGGAGGTTCTGCTCTGATATGATACAGCAGTGAACAAGATTTAACAACGTTCTGCTCTGATATGATACAGCAGTGAACAAGATTTAACAACGTTCTGCTCTGATATGATACAGCAGTGAACAAGATTTAACAACGTTCTGCTCTGATATGATACAGCAGTGAACAAGATTTAACAACGTTCTGCTCTGATATGATACAGCAGTGAACAAGATTTAACAACGTTCTGCTCTGATATGATACAGCAGTGAACAAGATTTAACAACGTTCTGCTCTGATATGATACAGCAGTGAACAAGATTTAACAACGTTCTGCTCTGATATGATACAGCAGTGAACAAGATTTAACAACGTTCTGCTCTGATATGATACAGCAGTGAACAAGATTTAACAACGTTCTGCTCTGATATGATACAGCAGTGAACAAGATTTAACAACGTTCTGCTCTGATATGATACAGCAGTGAACAAGATTTAACAACGTTCTGCTCTGATATGATACAGCAGTGAACAAGATTTAACAACGTTCTGCTCTGATATGATACAGCAGTGAACAAGATTTAACAACGTTCTGCTCTGATATGATACAGCAGTGAACAAGATTTAACAACGTTCTGCTCTGATATGATACAGCAGTGAACAAGATTTAACAACGTTCTGCTCTGATATGATACAGCAGTGAACAAGATTTAACAACGTTCTGCTCTGATATGATACAGCAGTGAACAAGATTTAACAACGTTCTGCTCTGATATGATACAGCAGTGAACAAGATTTAACAACGTTCTGCTCTGATATGATACAGCAGTGAACAAGATTTAACAACGTTCTGCTCTGATATGATACAGCAGTGAACAAGATTTAACAACGTTCTGCTCTGATATGATACAGCAGTGAACAAGATTTAACAACGTTCTGCTCTGATATGATACAGCAGTGAACAAGATTTAACAACGTTCTGCTCTGATATGATACAGCAGTGAACAAGATTTCACAACGTTCTGCTCTGATATGGTACAGCAGTGAACAAGATTTAACAATGTTCTGCTCTGATATGATACAGCAGTGAACAAGATTTAACAAGTCATGATTATCCTAATAAAAGTTTCAACATAAGATTAACAGGTTTGACATTTGTATGATTTTCATGTTTCTGCTGATTTCAGTGAGAAGAAGCAGTTCTCATCACTGCTACCAGAGATCCAGAAGATAGCCAGAGACACTATGGAGAAGGACTGTGTGTCATCGTGAGTACATGGGTTACTTCAGTTTGGTAATCAAAGACGAACGATTTCAGATAAATTATAAATTTGATAAAGCATTCATTCGCGAAGTCAGATCTGACATGGTACTGTATATAACTACTGATAATGATGTTTTTTATGTTTCTCTCACCAGTATTCAGTGATTTATTTCCCCAGTTTTACAGCCGAACACATGCTGCTTTCCCTAGGAGAAAAGTGCTGTATTTTCCCAAAACGAAGAAAAATGAGAAATATTTTACTACTTTTAAGGAAAATAATTCTGTATTTTCAAAATTTATGTTATAAAATTAAGGTTGGAGAAGCACTGGTATACAATTTTTCAATACAGTCCTGCTTTATTGTATGTATCATATTGTGAAGATCTTAATGATGATGTTATAACAGATCACCTAGCTCCTACTTCCAAGTTAGAACCAATTATTTGATTAGGATGCATCTGTTTTATACATTCTTCTATTGAAAATAATACTTATTAATATGCAATACTAGCATTATCATGCTTCTAGATGGACTAGTATATAAATCTCTCTGAACAGTTGTCAGGCAGATGAACTTGAGATACTGTGGCGCTACCGCAACTATCTTCATGACTTCCCAGATGCGTTGCCATGGATACTGCAAGGTGTGGTACGCTGGGATTGGGCAAGCCTGTCCGATGTTTACTCCTTACTGCAGAGCTGGGGTGGTATAGATCCTATGCAGGCCCTGGAGCTTCTCCTACCACAGTAAGTCTAACTTCATGTATACAGCTTCAGTTTCACAGTGTTAACTTCATGTTGTATACAATAATCCAAATTTGAACAGTGTTGAACTTGCAGTATGGAAACTTTTGGGGATTTAGTGTTACTTTTGCTAGAAATCAAGATATCATACTGCAAAGTCCAGGAAAACAGGGGCTGCAGTGGCCAAGTGGTTAAGGCGTCTGCCATTCTACTTCCCCTAGCCCTAAACCACTGGGTCGCAGGTTCAAGACCTACGTGGGGCAGTCGCTAGGTACTGGCCGTAGGTTGGTGTTTTTTTCTCCGTGAACTCCGGCTTTCCTCCACCATCGAAACCTGGCACGTCCTTAAATGACTAGAGCTGTTAATAGGACATAAACACAAACAAACAAAAACCAGGAAAACAACATTGCCATGAGAACTACAATGTTTTGACTATATCCTATATACATTATCAGTAAGTTTACAATAAACTACAGACTATTTGTTGGTAACTTACAATTTTGTTGTTGCTTATAGTCTGTGCTACAATTATGTACTATAACTCTTAACAGAAATAAAGTTATACGATACATGTACATATAACTCTTAACAGAAATAAAGTAATACGATACATGTACATATAACTCTTAACAGAAATAAAGTAATACGATACATGTACATATAACTCTAACAGAAATAAAGTTATACGATACATGTACATATAACTCTAACAGAAATAAAGTTATACGATACATGTACATATAACTCTAACAGAAATAAAGTTATACGATACATGTACATATAACTCTAACAGAAATAAAGTTATACGATACATGTACATATAACTCTAACAGAAATAAAGTTATACGATACATGTACATATAACTCTAACAGAAATAAAGTTATACGATACATGTACATATAACTCTAACAGAAATAAAGTTATACGATACATGTACATATAACTCTAACAGAAATAAAGTTATACGATACATGTACATATAACTCTAACAGAAATAAAGTTATACGATACATGTACATATAACTCTAACAGAAATAAAGTTATACGATACATGTACATATAACTCTAACAGAAATAAAGTTATACGATACATGTACATATAACTCTAACAGAAATAAAGTTATACGATACATGTACATATAACTCTAACAGAAATAAAGTTATACGATACATGTACATATAACTCTAACAGAAATAAAGTTATACGATACATGTACATATAACTCTAACAGAAATAAAGTTATACGATACATGTACATATAACTCTAACAGAAATAAAGTTATACGATACATGTACATATAACTCTAACAGAAATAAAGTTATACGATACATGTACATATAACTCTAACAGAAATAAAGTTATACGATACATGTACATATAACTCTAACAGAAATAAAGTTATACGATACATGTACATATAACTCTAACAGAAATAAAGTTATACGATACATGTACATATAACTCTAACAGAAATAAAGTTATACGATACATGTACATATAACTCTAACAGAAATAAAGTTATACGATACATGTACATATAACTCTAACAGAAATAAAGTTATACGATACATGTACATATAACTCTAACAGAAATAAAGTTATACGATACATGTACATATAACTCTAACAGAAATAAAGTTATACGATACATGTACATATAACTCTAACAGAAATAAAGTTATACGATACATGTACATATAACTCTAACAGAAATAAAGTTATACGATACATGTACATATAACTCTAACAGAAATAAAGTTATACGATACATGTACATATAACTCTAACAGAAATAAAGTTATACGATACATGTACATATAACTCTAACAGAAATAAAGTTATACGATACATGTACATATAACTCTAACAGAAATAAAGTTATACGATACATGTACATATAACTCTAACAGAAATAAAGTTATACGATACATGTACATATAACTCTAACAGAAATAAAGTTATACGATACATGTACATATAACTCTAACAGAAATAAAGTTATACGATACATATACATATAACTCTAACAGAAATAAAGTAATACGATACATATACATATAACTCTAACAGAAATAAAGTAATACGGTACATGTACTATAACTCTGACAGAAATAAAGTTATACGATACATGTACATATAACTCTAACAGAAATAAAGTTATATGATACATGTACATATAACTCTAACAGAAATAAAGTAATACGATACATGTACATATAACTCTAACAGAAATAAAGTAATACGATGCATATACATATAACTCTAACAGAAATAAAGTAATACGATGCATATACATATAACTCTAACAGAAATAAAGTAATACGGTACATTTACTATAACTCTGACAGAAATAAAGTTATACGATACATGTACATATAACTAACAGAAATAAAATTATACGATACATGTACATATAACTCTAACAGAAATAAAGATAAAACATGCTATCTACATGCGAGTTATTTTCATAAAACTTTGAACTTACACAGATGGAAGCTTCTTGATTCTCATGAACTATTTGAAGACAAAATGTGGGAAAAAAATGAAATGTTCTCAAATGTTAAAATGAAAATATTTTAGATTTTTGGTAATTTAGATAGCGTTCCTTCTCTAACAGAAGTGCTATGAAATTTGTTCGTAAAATTGACGTTTCCCTATTACAGATATCCTGACAATAAAGTGAGAAAATTTGCTGTTGACTGCCTGAAGAAAATGGCAACAGATGACCTGATCGAGTTTATACCTCAACTTATCCAGGTACGATCAAGTTTATACCTCAACTTATCCAGGTACGAGCAAGTTTATACCTCAACTTATCCAGGTACATTCGAGTTTATACCTCAACTTATCCAGGTACGATCGAGTTTATACCTCAACTTATCCAGGTACATTCGAGTTTATACCTCAACTTGACCAGGTACGATTGAGTTTATACCTCAACTTATCCAGGTACGATCGAGTTTATACCTCAACTTATCCAGGTACGATCGAGTTTATACCTCAACTTGTCCAGGTACGATCATACACCTTTAGAAACACGAATCTTCATATAAAGTGAATTATTTCTGAAATGAATTTGAAAAAACAACTTGATTCATTGGTTACAAGGTGATTTTGTTGTGTTTTCTTTCTACAGGCCCTGAAGTATGAGAGTTATCATGCCTCGGACCTATCGCGACTTCTCCTCGAGCAGTCCTGCAAAAGTATCAGATTTGCTCACAAGTTCTTCTGGTAAAGTATCTTATTACTTAATTGTTTAGTAATATACTTAGTATTACATGTAACAAGGTGACAAGGGTTTATCATTCCCTGAATAGGTCTGTTAAACAGATTCAATTACAATTGAAAATAGGCCATTTTTGTCTCGCTGCCACGAAGTAGCGGAAGCGAGACTAAGGTGTTGCTTTTCCAGCGGCGGCATCAATATTAAGTTTTTGCGTTTAACTTAGTTTCACTGAAAGTATAAGTGCTAGACCAACCAAACTTGGACCATAGATGTATCTTAGGTAGTACATCTCAACCCTTGCATTAAATGTTGGATGCAGCCAACCTTTCATGGTCCATTGACTTTGTCAGCATTTCCATCAAAACTCAGTTTTTGCATTTAAGTTATTTTCTCTGATATGAGCATTAATTGTCAAAGCAGGGCACAGGCAACACACATCAATCTGAATGGCTTGTTTCCTTATTTGTCCAGATAACATTCACAATTTGTTCAATTAACAAAAATATGTTTAATATCCTGCCTGGTGTTTTCTTGCTCATACCTTGTCCATTGAGGGCATTTGTCTATAAAATACCCACCTGTTTAACAAGACAACCTGCAAATAAAAAACCCTTTTTTAAAACCACCTGTCTATCATCAGGTGATAGAGTAAATAAACAGTTCACAAAAAACAAGTTTTACAACTGTCACATAAGTTTTTAGGTGGCTTTTACAAATTTTGTCACTTTTGTATTTTTAGGCTGCTAAAAGGAGCAGCCCAGGACAGTACTTACAAACATAGATATGAACTGATGTTTGTTGCCCTGGTGAGTGTAGCTGGTGACGCACTCTACCAGGAGTTCAGGAAACAGGAGGAGCTAGTTAAGATCCTCACCAATGCTGCTGAGAAAGTCCAGGTGTCCAAGGAGAAGGATGTAAGTAAAAGTATTAGAAATATAGGTATTATTATCTAGGTGTTATTATCTAGGTGTTATTATCTAGGTGTTATTATCAAGGTGTTATTATCTAGGTATTATTATCTAGGTGTTATTATCTAGGTGTTATTATCAAGGTATTATTATCTAGGTATTATTATCTAGGTGTTATTATCTAGGTGTTATTATCTATGTGTTATAACCAAGGTGTTATTATCTAGGTGTTATTACCAAGGTGTTATTATCTAGGTGTTATTATCTAGGTATAATTATCTAGGTGTTATTATCTAGGTATTATTATCTAGGTGTTATTATCTAGGTGTTATTATCTATGTGTTATTACCAAGGTGTTATTATCTAGGTGTTATTACCAAGGTGTTATTATCTAGGTGTTATTATCTAGGTGTTATTATCTAGGTGTTATTATCTAGGTATTATTATCTATGTGTTATTATCTAGGTATTATTATCTAGGTGTTATTATCTAGGTGTTATTACCAAGGTGTTATTATCTAGGTGTTATTACCAAGGTGTTATTATCTAGGTGTTATTATCTAGGTGTTATTATCAAGGTGTTATTATCTAGGTATTATTATCTATGTGTTATTATCTAGGTATTATTATCTAGGTGTTATTATCAAGGTGTTATTATCTAGGTATTATTATCTAGGTGTTATTATCAAGGTGTTATTATCTAGGTGTTATTACCAAGGTGTTATTATCTAGGTGTTATAATATAGGTGTTATTATCAAGGTGTTATTATCTAGGTATTATTATCTAGATGTTATTATCTAGGTATTATTATCTTGGTGTTATTATCTAGGTATTATTATCTATGTGTTATTATCTAGGTATTATTATCTAGGTTTTGTTATCTAGGTATTGTTATCTAGATATTATTATCTAGGTGATTTTATCTAGGTATTGTTATCTAGGTGTTACTATCTAGATATTATTAAGGTATTATTACCAATGTGTTATTATCTAGAGATTATTATCTAGATGTTATTATCTAGGTATTATTATCTATGTGTTATTATCTAGGTGTTATTATCAAGGTGTTATTACCAAGGTGTTATTATATAGGTATTATTATCTAGCTAGGTGTTATTATCAAGGTGTATCTATGTGTTATTATCTAGGTATTATTATCTAGGTTTTGTTATCTAGGTATTGTTATCTAGATATTATTATCTAGGTGATTTTATCTAGGTATTGTTATCTAGGTTTTATTATCTTGGTGTTATTATCTAGGTGTTATTATTAAGGTATTATTCTCCAGATGTTATTATTTGGTATTATTTTCTAGGTATTATTATCTGGGCATTATTATAAAGGTGTTATTATCTAGGTGTTATTATCTAGGTATTGCTATCTAGGTATTTTTATCTAGATATTATTATCTAGGTTTATTATCTAGGTGTTATTATCTAGGTATTGTTATCTAGATATTATTATCTAGGTGTTATTATCTAGGTAATGTTATCTAGAGATTATTATCTAGGTGTTAATATCTAGGTTTTATTATCTAGGTGTTATTATTATCTAGGTGTTATTATTATCTAGGTGTTATTGTTATATAGGTGTTATCATTTTGTAATATAAACTAGGTGTTATTATCTAAGTGTTATCATTTGGTATTATTAAATAGGTGTTATTATTATCTAGTTGTTATTTTATAGGTGTTATCATTTGGTATTATTAACTAGGTGTTATTATCTAAGTGTTATCATTTGGTATTATTAACTAGGTGTTATTATTATCTAGTTGTTATTATATAGGTGTTATTATATAGGTGTTATCATTTGGTATTATTAAGTATGTGTTATTATTATCTAGTTGTTATTATATAGGTGTTTTCATTTGGTATAATTAACTAGGTGTTATTAACTAGGTGTTATTAACTAGATGTTATTATCTAGGAAAAGAGACAAGTCCAGTACGTGACCACTTGCTCTCAGAAGTTAAATTAACAAGACTTAAAAAACCAGTGCAGTCATAATTCTGTTAATTGTTGACTAAAATGAAACTATTGTCATAAAAATGTTGGGAGTATTAATAGATTTTTAGTGAATGTGCTCTTTGTTTGTTTACAGGGAACATTGAAGCGAGAGATGCAGGCGGTGTTTGAATTATTTGAGGATCGAGGCAGCATTTTGTTGCCTTATAATCCTGGCCTGGCTGTGTCAGGGGTGGACCTCAAGGTCAGTAAATTAGGGTTTACATTCTACCAGCATAAAACATTCACCTGACACTGAGTCGGTGTCATTGAAGATTTTCCATGTTGTCAGTACAACTACAGTTCTAATTCTTATACTGCACACAATGAAGTTAGGGAGGCAGCTATATTGGAAAATGATAAAGTACAGCTGTATACCCGAAAATATTTGCCACTGTTTAACTTTGATCTTTTTCACTCTCTGTAATGGGGGCAAATATATCATCACAGCGAACATTAACAGACAACATAAAATATATAGTAAATAAATGTAAAGTGTGAAATATCACTGAGCAGATATGGAATTTAACGGTGAGGGGTCGACACTTTGGCTATGTGAAATTTTCCAGTTATACAGCATGCCAAATAATCAATATAAAACTGACATGTCTTTTACAGATTATCAAATGTGAAGATGTAACATTCTGTATACATAGAGCTGCACCGCAGTGAAGATATGTAGGCAATACAAAGATGTACCACACGTGAACTCATCTGATGTCCCACACGTGTACTCATCTGATGTCCCACACGTGTACTCATCTGATGTCCCACATGTGTACTCATCTGATGTCCCACATAGCATGAGCAGAAACATCAGATGAACACATATGTTGTATTGCTTTTATTAAGGTATTTCATACAGGCTCATGTCAGTGTATATAGTATGTGATGGGATCATAACTTTTCTCAAAATGAAAAAGATGGAAGTTGGTTGGTATACCCATGTCAAGAACAATGCTAATAATGACCTTGCAGAAATGATTTGTCAAAAATATTGTTGATTTTGTCTGAAAAGTAACTTTTAAATGCAGAATTTGAGTGGTGCAAAACTGCATTGAACATTATAATTTATGAAAAATCTTACCTGTACATGCATTCCTGAAGTATCCGTGTATTCACTATTATTGAGAAAAATGTAAGAAAATGCTTCAAACCTCAAAATTTCATTTTGAGAAAAGTTATGAGCCCATTACATACTATATACACTGACATGACGCTATATGAAATACCTTAGATACCGATAATTGCTCTTAACATGCAAATAACATTTTCTGCAAAACATTACTCGTTAAAATCTTCAACCTAAAAACAATGGCAGGCAAAATGATGCAATAGTGACGTTATCCTTCTGTAGTGTAAAATGGTACTTAAATGTTTGGAACCCATTCTTGTTTCAATTAGTCCAATTGATCAGCAGCCAAGTGCCAATGAGTTTCCTTTAAGAATACTGACTACTGAGGTAGTACAATATCCTGTATACCGGCTAATCACAAGGCAAGAAATTTATATTGGTCATGAAAAAACAAAAAATGCGAAAACTCAAATATCTGTTTGAGCGGGATGCTCTCTTAAGAATTCACAAAACTTACACATGTTTATTACCAGTTTTAGAATATGCATGTGAAGTTAGGGATGGTTGTACTCTGGTCAATTCTGAAAAGTTAGAGAGGGCTCAACGTGAAGTAGCTAGAATAATTACAGGTTTACCGTCATATGCTAGAAATGAATCATTGTATACAGAAACTGGTCTTGAATTACTTTCGGATAGAAGAAGAAGATGAAAACTTTAGTTAATCTACAAAATGGATAGGCATCAAACCCCAAACTACCTAACAAATCTACTTCCCACTAAGGTAGGAGAAAACCGACATGTTCTTAGAAATAATGATAACTACAAAATTCCCAATTTCAGATTCTCTACTGCTAGTTTATCTTTCTTGCCTTCTTCATTAAAAATGTGGAATACTCTAGACTATAATATTAGATCCATGTCTTTCTCATCTTTCAAATCAGCTGTATAGTCCCCAACATACCTTATACAGTAACCCTTCATTACCTACGTGGTGACAGCAAACTAAACATTCTTCATACCAGACTAAGACACGAATGCAGTCCTCTCAAACATGATCTTTACCGTGCAAACTTGGTCCAACACTCCAATTGTATAAATTGTGGCTACCATTGCGAAAATGCCTATCACTTCTTCTTTGAATGTCAACCTTAGACAAATGCTCGTACTGTGCATTTTGATCATATAAATCATTTAAATATACATTTAAGGTTGAGATTTACTGTTTGGAAATGAAAATCTGGCTTTGGATACAATTGTGATGTATTCAAACAAGTGCAAACTTTTATTAGATCCAGTGGAAGATTTTAACATGTTTGATTACCATGAACTTGACTTTAAAATATGTTTTTTTGTTTGTTTGTATGTGTATGTGTTCCTTAAAAAATCGCTTCATACTCTATGAATTGCAATTGACAGTCTATATCATCATCTGTTGTTTTGAATTATTGTTGTAAGGAGATGGCTACTTAAGTTGTAATAACTTGTGCCAAATCCTATTTTCCAATTCTGGTTAATATCTGGTTAATTCTATTCCTACAGTATGATTAACCAGGTATGTAATAAATGTTTTTGGCAAAGTGGTTAATGTTTGATATTTCATTATGATTATATCTTCACATCAAGTTCCTTGTCTACTGAAGTTAGAGTATTTATTGATGTCTGTTAGTGTTTGACATCAGAGTTCCTTGTCTACCGAAGTTACAGTATTTATTGATGTCTGTTAATTGTGTTACAGTCCTGTTCTTACTTCACTTCCAATGCCTTACCTCTCAAACTGGTGTTCAAGAGTACCAACATCAAGGCCGAGCCCATATATGTTATGTTCAAGGTAGGTCTGCTCTCAGTAATTTGGGTGTTTACTGACGAGGTAGTGAAATGTTTCAAATAGCAAAATTTGTATTGAGCACATACATACAGTCAAACTAGATATTTCCAAAAATATGTTTCTAATCTGTGACTGTACATTCAAGTAAAGTTGTTGACATCCTTTACTCGTTTAATTTGTAAAAGATCTTAAAAGTGTTTTCATCAAATTCATTAAAATTTCATTATTTTTTTTCCACATATAGGTAGGATTTTGCTTACAATTTTAAAAGATCCACTGAAATCTCATTTTTTGAAGTGTTTGTGTAGTTATTATTTGGAAATTTAATGTTGGCAGGTTGGGGATGACCTCCGACAGGACATGCTGACCATGCAGATGGTCAAGATAATGGACAGACTGTGGCTTAGGGCTGGACTTGACCTCAAAATGATCACATTTGCTTGTCTGGCCACAGGACCTAAAAGAGGCGAGTGTTGAATGGATACTAGATAGTACAGACAAGTAAAATTAATTAAGTTTTCTGAAAGTTAAAACCATCAGTATTTGTTGACAAAGCTTTCAATAATATTAATGTAGGATTGTCTCTTTAAGTGTCTGTAAATAGTAAGTGTGTTCTTTGTGTGATACAGGTGTGATAGAGCTTGTCATGGAGTCGGACACACTACGAAGGATCCAGGTGTCCTATGGCGTCACTGGTTCATTCAAAGATCGGCCAATTAAAGAGTGGCTTCAAAAACACAATCCCACAGAACTTGAATACCAGAAGGTAGGTTACTACAAGCTGCTCATAAAGAGGGCTCAGTGGAATTCAATGTATTTCTCAAAGACACCATTATTATATTTCCCCTGTAACATGTAAATGACTGAAGCAAATGACTGAAGCAAATGACTGAAGCCTAACCCTCAGAAATCAGCCAGAGCAGATGAATACTATATAACACTTATATCGTACTAGTCATAAAAATGTGACCTAGAAAATCATATTGGTTGTGTAAAAAGATTTATCATAATCCATACTCACCAACCTGAAGAAAATGTTTAGAAATATATATGAAATTGTTCTGGTCAATCTGTAGTGACCAATCGTTGGCTAACTAGTAAAATATATCTCCACATGATTCATAATCAACCTAATAAGGTGTGAGGATTTACATGAGATGGTGTGATGTAAGATACATGTATTGTTAGGTAATTACTTACAGATGATAAGTGTTGTTAATAAAAGCCCTAACTGCTGTTTGTGAATGGCTACCTTTCTGCTGTTTGTGACTGGCTACCTTTCTGTCATTAGCGGTACATTTTACCAGGGAAGTGGTGGAATGTCATTGTAAATTACCTCATACTTATTTTTGAAACGCCCCCTACTCTTATTAGTGTTAACAAAACTGCAGATGTTCAATATCAGACAAAAGTTTCGGGGGAAGAATCCTGCTGCAATAAAAATATGTAATCGTGAACTCCCAAGCTTTTGTCAATCTGTATCTTGAAAGTTTATGATGGAAATTCAGTAAATGTTGTGGTATAAGATTCTATATGATATGTTTGTGTTTACAGGCCATGGAGAAGTGGTTTAAGATTCTATATGATATGTTTGTGTTTACAGGCCTTGGAGAACTTCACTAGTTCCTGTGCTGGCTACTGTGTGGCCACCTATGTCCTCGGGATTTGTGACCGCCACAACGACAACATCATGCTCAAACAGTCGGGACACATGTTCCACATAGACTTCAACAAGTTTCTTGGAGATTCCCAGATGTTTGGGAACATCAGAAGGTAATTAACACTCAAATGGAAGAATGTCTTGGCATGTTCTATGTATCCATTGTATTTAATTTTGTTCTTAAGTACTATTTTTAGCTCACCTGGCCCAAAGGGCCAAGTGAGCTTATGCCATGGTGCAGCGTCCGTCGTCTGTCCGTCCGGCATCCGGCGTCAATATTTTACTTTTAAATAACTTCTTCTTAATAACCAAAAGGCCTAGGGTGATGATATTTGGCCAGAAGCAAACTAGGATGAAGGGCTACCAAATTTGTTCAAATAAATGACCTTCGTCCATTTTCAAGGTCACAGGGGTCAATTGTCTGAAAAAATCTTTATACAGCTTCTTCTGAATAACTAAGAGGCCTAGTTCACTGAACATGGAGAAACAAAGGGAACGCTATTGCCAAATCATGTTACTAACAGCTCAGGAACATCGGCTGTATTTGGCAGTTAATAACTGAAGATGCATGCAAGATTTTGGTGCATTCACTTGTTGCCTCTCGGTTTGATTATGGTAAATCCCTGCTCTGTGGTATATCTGACAAACTAACTAGTCGTCTGCAGAGGGTCCAGAACACTGAAGCACGGCTGGTTACTCGTACTCAAAAGAGAGAGCACATCACACCTGTGCTACATTCATTGCACTGGTTACCTGTACGATACTGGTCGCAGTACAAAATTTTGGTGTACACATACAAGGCACTGAATGGAACAGCTCCTCATGATCAGTACCTACAGAAGCTTGTTACCCTGTATCAGGCGTCACGATCACTGCTGTCGGAGTCAGAATCTTTGTTGTGTGTCCCCAAATCTCGTACTGTGACCTATTGAAACCAATGCTTTGGGAGGGTTTCGACCACATTGTGGAATAGCTTACCATCTGCTATTAGAAAGTCAAATACCCTGGCCAAATTCAAGAGGGACATCAAAACTCACCTCTTCACGTCTGCATTTTATATAGTTAGGGTCAACAATTTCTTTAAACGACTTCTTCTTCTTAACCACTGATTGGAATTTAACTAAATTTGACTGGAAGCATCCCTAGGTGGTGGGGATTCAAAATTGTACAAATGGTAGGGCTGACCCCCAGNGGATGAAGGGCTACCAATTTTGTCAAAATGAATGACCTTCGCCCATATTCAAGGTCACAGTGGTCAATATATGTTTAAATCTTTAAATGACTTGTTCTGTATAACCAATAGGTCCAGGGTTATGATATTTTGCCAAAAGCATGCTGGGTTGGAAGACTTTAAACTCTGTTCAACCTAATGTCCTTGTTCGACATTCAAGGTCACAGCGTCATATGTTTAAATCTTTTAATAGGTTCTTATGAATCAAACACTGATATTCTTCCTGTAGCTGCATTTTAGTCCACTTTTAAGATTACAAGTGTGAGATTAATACCAGGTGAGCGATTCAGGCCCATTGGGCCTCTTGTTGAATGTTTTCCCGTATAAACCGATTGGAGAGATTTGTCGTCACCATAGTCTTCGCTATCCTTGCTATGCTGATGACACACAAATGTACATGGTCATCAAACCAAAAGACAGTTGGGATACAGTTTAAGAAAATCTGGAAGCTTGTCTGACAGATATCAGTACCTGAATGAACGCTAACATGCTAAAGCTTAATCAGGAAAAGACGGAACTAATCGTCTTTCCCCAAAGTGTCAGCAAACAATGGCTCTCCAGCTCAAGGTCGGTGCCAGAACTATTGAGACCGTCCCAGCTGTTAAAAACCTAGGGGTATACTTTGATAGTTCACTGAACATGGAGAAACAAAGGGAACGCTATTGCCAAATCATGTTACTAACAGCTCAGGAACATCGGCTGTATTTGGCAGTTAATAACTGAAGATGCATGCAAGATTTTGGTGCATTCACTTGTTGCCTCTCGGTTTGATTATGGTAAATCCCTGCTCTGTGGTATATCTGGCAAACTAACTAGTCGTCTGCAGAGGGTCCAGAACACTGAAGCACGGCTGGTTACTCGTACTCAAAAGAGAGAGCACATCACACCTGTGCTACATTCATTGCACTGGTTACCTGTACGATACTGGTCGCAGTACAAAATTTTGGTGTACACATACAAGGCACTGAATGGAACAGCTCCTCATGATCAGTACCTACAGAAGCTTGTTACCCTGTATCAGGCGTCACGATCACTGCTGTCGGAGTCAGAATCTTTGTTGTGTGTCCCCAAATCTCGTACTGTGACCTATTGAAACCAATGCTTTGGGAGGGTTTCGACCACATTGTGGAATAGCTTACCATCTGCTATTAGAAAGTCAAATACCCTGGCCAAATTCAAGAGGGACATCAAAACTCACCTCTTCACGTCTGCATTTTATATAGTTAGGGTCAACAATTTCTTTAAACGACTTCTTCTTCTTAACCACTGATTGGAATTTAACTAAATTTGACTGGAAGCATCCCTAGGTGGTGGGGATTCAAAATTGTACAAATGGTAGGGCTGACCCCCAGGGGGCTGAGGGGCGGGGCGAAAAGGGGGCATTTTGGCTATATTGCTACAAACGACTTCTTCTGTAGAACTATGCACTGGATATCAATCATATTTAATCAGAAGCATTCATGGGAGGCAGGGATTCAAAATTGTACAAATGGTAGGGCTGACCCCCCAGGGGGCTGAGGGGCGGGGCGAAAAGGGGGCATTTTGGCTATATTGCTACAAACGACTTCTTCTGTAGAACTATGCACTGGATATCAATCATATTTAATCAGAAGCATTCATGGGAGGCAGGGATTCAAAATTGTACAAATGGTAGGGCTGACCCCCC